CAATGCGAATTTCAAATATTTTCAGATTTTTTTGGCTTGCTCCCAGTAACTGTAACATCGAAGCGGAATAAGCCTTGTTGTTGGACGAGCTTCAGCCCGCTACTTCACGCAGCCGGTATCAAAAAAGAATTTTTTTTACGTGGTCCAGATACGCTGCAGGGTTCGAGCGTGTGTGGACTTTGATTTTGGCTTGGAAGCCCGAATAAACCACTGAAAATTTCGCCAGAAGAGTCTACACACGGTTCAACACCGCCTCCAAACCGAGTCTCACCATCGGTAAATCATTTACATTTAGTGGTAATAGAATAATTACTAAATTTCATCAAATTAGCTCAGTTTGAGAAATTATTAGCTCTTATTTCCCACAAAAAATTTGACAATAATTACATTTTGATGCCATTTTTTTAAATTTTAGTAAAATATACTTTTGGACCATTAAACTATATCTTTAAACCACTGAAAAACAGTAAAGCAGGATTGGCACTGGTGATTTTGAAATGTGTTCTATAAAACAATGCAGTGGTGAAGAAAGAACGGAACGAAGTATAATACAGTAGAAGTGATAACATTTCAGATAGTTTCGTGTTTGTCTTCAAAACATTATCACTTTTTTTTTAAATGATTGGCTACTTGGCAATATTTTCAGGTTGCACGTGAGCTTGGCATTTTCCAGCTATCGTCAGATCCGGTTCCTCGTCCAGGCAGTGCACAGATCAAGCTTGACGTGAACGCTGAGCCTCCTTGGGATCCAGACCCATTTGTAAGATATACGAACATTTAAAAGAAGTAGTTCTTGTTGATTGTCATAAAATCATTTTTGTAGAGGTGCATAAACGGAAAGCGAAGAAATTGTGTTTTTCTTTATCTCTGTCCTGGTAATTATAAGGAGAAGGTAGGACTATAAGGTTTTTGTAGATATCATCTTATCCGTTTCAGCTCGTGCCTGCTTCCTGAACGTGGCTGTGTCCGCCATTGAATTTGAAGATTTGGTCGTCTAATTACACCGTTCGAGCAGTTCACCCTTCAGTTTTGGCGTCTCTTCCACCGGAAAGGCCGTGCCACTGGACACAGGCCGTTAAACTTCGCACATTCTGCGTCCGCTTGCACAGGCCACCATAGTTGGACCTCAAAAGTAACTTTTTCACTTTCATTTTTTGAATTGAAATTCCAGCATTCTTGCTTTATTACTCCCTGTTGAACTTTTCAGGTATTTTATTCGTTTTCCTGTCATGGTACCAGTGGTCTCATTGGATTCTCAAGATGCCAGTGTACACCAAAAAGCACCACATTTGGCTAGGGTGGAGCGGTTGGACGCTTACGATGATGGTTGTTTGAATGCCGTGCAAGAGCTAATTACAACCAAAGCTCTGCAGGTATGAATTTTTTTTTTCTCCTGTAATGATGTTTGCGTATTTTCTTCGTACTGCCTTTCAGCTTGTTGGTCGTTTTAGGATGACAAACAGCCGTTTTTCGTTATGGATATGGAGCGTGTGAATGGCATCGTGAAAGAGTGGTCTCTGAAAATGCCGAACGTCCAACCGTTTTATTCGATGCGCTGCAATAGCGATCAAGTTCTGCTGCAGCTTCTCACAAAGAATACCAATGTTGGCTTGTGCTGCAGCAGTCGTTTCGAACTTGCACTGGTGCGTTTTATTGCAATGTAACTGGAGAGGCAGTAGTTCAAGCCTTTTTCTTTCGCCCCCTCCCCTTTCCTCTCTCCCCCCTCTCCTTTGGCTTTCCAGCCATGCCACACATGTTAAGACGATTCTGGCAGTTCCGATAATAATGCAAAATGGTTTTCATATTGCTAAGTCACTACTCAGCAAAAAGATCTTTTTTCGGTCTTTGTTTGTAATGAAATTTGTTGCCTGTCCTTTTCCCCATTCCATTCGTCGTAAAATCTTTGGCTTACTCGTTATCCATGTGTCACCACCGGGGTAAGTTTTGTGCCAGTACGATTGTGGTTTTTCTGGGCCAATCAACGATTTTATCACATCTAATCACTTTTCTGTGCTATAATTGTGCTCGACAGTATTACTGCACTTTTCTAGGCAATGAAACATGTCGGTCAGGAACGCATTCTTTATTCCAATCCACTGTGGACTCGTGCCAATATTCGTCACGCTAAGCAGTGCGGCGTAAAGTGGGTTGTTATCGAATCGGAAGATGATTTGAAGCGTTTTACGACGTATTTTCTGGAAGCAAACATCATTTTACGTGTTGTGATGGATCCGCGGTTGACCGAAAAGGGCCTTATTTCCATGGATAGCTTGAATGTTGAAAAAGCTGCTGAGCTGCTTCGTTTGGCAAAAAATTTGCCGTGCAAAATCACT